TTTTATCTACTCGCTTTTGATTTTATTTCGTTGACGTAATGGCACCGGTCCTATACCAATGCACGGTTTGTTTAAATCATTATAAAATAAAACCGGACGGTAAACTATATCGACATGGAGGCAAAGTGAAGGGCCAGGAATGCCCTGGTTCGTTCAAGGCAGCCGACCAGCCTCCGGCTGGTTCATCTGCTTCCGCGCGACCGCCGCTTACCGCTGCACCTGTCATCAACCCTCATGTTGCTACACGCGGTTCTTCGGCATCGGTCTCGGAGAGTCCCTCCCAAGTGGATTTTTTTCATGTTTTTGACAGGCTGACGGTCGTTTTGAGGACTGCCCATCTGTATGATCACGTTCCCAAACCGTGCAGAGACAAGGTATCTAAAGCATTGTCGGCTTTATTGACGGCCGTTTGCGATGATCCCTGCGACGCGACCCATTGGTGCAGGCTCCAATGTTTTTTCGCATTTGTTTTGTTCAAGCCAACCAGGGGCGGTCGCAGGACTAATCAAGCCAATTACGTTATTAAACGGTTGGCCGAATTCAGTTCGACCGAGGTCGAGTTTATTGTGGCAAGCTTCAACACTGACCACAACACCAAACCGCGTAAGCACAATCCAAACAGTTGGATTAGTGCAGTAACCACTCGGATTGAACAGGGCAGTCTCTCGGCGGCCGTCAGACTTGCTTGTTCGCCCGCAGGCCTGGCGGAGAGCTCGCCTGAGACACTCGCTAAACTCAAAGCTATTCATCCCAGTGCTCCATTGAACAGGCGAGCTTTCCCCGCGCAGGAGCCGTCCAATGGTCGCGTTTCACCAGCCCAGGTGTTGACGGCTTTAAAGTCGTTTAATAATGGTTCATCGGGAGGCCTTGATGGTTTGAGGCCTCAGCACATAAAGGATTTACTTTCCGGTCCGACGCCCACCGATGAATTGTTAAATAACCTCACCCGGTTTGTAAATTTGTTGTTATCTGGGGTCTGCCCTCCCGCGGTTAGCCGTTTCTTCTTTGGGGGCCGTCTGGTGGCTTTAAACAAAAAAGATGGAGGGATCAGACCCATCGCGGTGGGGAATTTCTGGAGGAGGCTGGCCAGTAAGTGCGCTCTGGCGCTAGTGTTGGAACAGGTCAAAGCCAAACTCTATCCTATCCAATTGGGCGTCGGCGTGAAAGGTGGTGCTGAGGCGGCCGTCCACGCCGTACGTGAACTGATTTCAACACTTCCAAAACAGTGGGGATTCTTGAAGATTGATTTCAAGAACGCTTTCAACACCCTGAGAAGAGACTCAATGTTAGAGGCAGTTAAGCAGCACTGTCCTCAAATTTATAATTTTTGTCATTCCGCATATGGCCGAGTCTCTTCTCTCGGTTACGACGCCTGGGTGGTTGAATCGTGCGAGGGCGTACAGCAAGGCGACCCTTTGGGACCGATGCTTTTTGCTCTAACCCTTCACCCGCTGTTGACGAAGTCATCCTCGGCGTTTGTTTGTGGCTACCTGGACGATGTCAGCTTGGCCGCAGAGGGCAACATCTTAGCGGACGACTTCCTGTCGCTGAGGGTCGGCGCTTCCATCATTGGTCTTGAATTAAACACAAACAAGTGTGAACTACTTGTAAATGACACGTTTCAAATGCCACACGTGCTGGCTAATGTTCCCACAGTGCCTCATTCATCATTAAATTTTTTAGGCACTCCAATGATGGCCGGCGATCATCAGGACAGGTTTTTTAATAAAAAACTTTTTGAGCTAAGATTTGCCCTCGAACGTGTCTCTCTTCTCCCGCTCCACGACGCGCTGACAATCATCCGCGGCGCCCTCAGTTTGCCGAAATTGATGTATTTTTGCGCACATCCAACTTTGTTAATGCGGCCATTTTGGGCGAATTTGAGGGTGCTCTGCGGGTGGCCCTCTCAGCAATATGTAACGTCGATATTACCGACAAGGGTTGGTCTCAGGCTCAGCTGCCGGTACGAT